CTACTTCCGTAGTGATACTGCCTCGGAAACCCAAGGAGGGGTCGCTATGAGTCGGGGCCGACTCGACGGCACATAACAACAACAACAACAACGTGTGGAATTAAGAAATATTCTTTTATATAACCTATCATTTAAAGAAGTCAGAATAGAAATACAGAGATTTTTTAAGCATATTTACATTATAAAAAATAATACGTTAATGTCAGGTGCAACATATCTTAGTTTGTGAAATATATCTAAGTACTTAGTAAAATATATAGGTTTAAATACATGTAATTGAAAATAAGAAGGATGAGACATCTAATTAAAAAAAAATTTTGAAAAAGAATGGCAAAAATTAGGAAAAAGTCCAAAACTATAGAAGGAAGTAAATAATAGGAAGAGCTAAAACTAATTAAATAGAAATTCATTACAGCCACCATTTCAGTCTTTGATCAAATGAAACTGATCAGAAAAAGAGAAGGTGAAATAACTATTAGGTATTCTGTAGCTACTAATAAGATGTACTGAGCTATTCTAGTAAGTAGGAAAACTTAAATAGACAAATTTCTAGAAAAAGAAAACATCAAAATGGGCATAAGAAATAGAAAACTAAAATACTCTTAGCTTAAAATAATTGAATCTATATTTTAAAAACCTTTGGATATATAAAACTCTGGATCCATATCATTTCACTGGTAAGTTCTACAGTTATTTAAAGAAGATATAATTTCAGTCATGAGAAATGTCCTAATAATAGGACAGGTGTATACATTCTTCTACTCATTTTAAAGGGCTAGGATGTATAATCTAAGAATAAAAAAGGAAAACTACAGTCCCAATCTCTCTTATGAAAAATCTTAACGTAAAAATCCTAATAATAATAATACGTGATCAAGTTAGATTTATTGTAGGAATACAAAAGCATAACTTTAGAAAACCAATCACTGTAATTTACCATGTGAACAAATGATAGGAAAATAAGTATGTGATAATTTCCGTAAAATTCAGAAACTATTCAGGAATAAAAAGAGAAACCATTGCAAATTAGTAATTTAAATTAATCTCCTTAGTACACACAGAATGTTTCAAACAAACAAAGAAGTCTAAAACAAACACACTAGACACCTTGCTTAAGGGGAAAAACATTGAAAGCTTTCTTTTTGAGACTGGGAACAAGGAAAGCAAATGGGCTCTCATTTTCCCCCCAGCATTTTACTGTCATGTCTAGCCAATGCTGTAAGACAAGAAAACAGAAAAGCTAAGATTGGGAAGGAAGATACAAAAACTGTTGTTGCTGATTATGTTCTTGTGGCTATAAAATTTCTGAAGGAATATACAGATAAATTATAGAAGTAAGGTTTCTGGATGCAAATTCAGTATGTAAGAGTTACTTGTATTTCTGTATATCAGCAATAATGAAATGTTTAAATGGTACCATCTGCATATGGTATTAAAAAATAAGTAGAGGAATATACTGTGTTGACATATTGAAAGGCTCAGTATTCTGAAGCTTTTTCTTCCGGAATTATTTACAATTAAAGTGCTATCCTGGTGTACTTGTTTGGAAGCAACTGTTTAGACTTACCCTATTTTTGTTAATTTTAATAGTTAACTCAAGCAACTAAACACAAATTAAAATCTGGATCTTGGTTTCTATTCCCACAAAAACTAGGTTTTTTTGTGGTACATGAAAGTTGATTTTAAAATTTATATGGAAATACACAAGTCCACTGAGAGCAAAGATAACTCTTAAGACAAAGAGGTGAAAGATATTAAGATTTAGTATAAAGTTAAAGTAATCAAGTCAGTGTAGTATTATACTAAGATAGACCAATGGAATAGTCTATGCATGGAAGCCCTGAAATAGACGCACACACAGTATACTAATGACAAAAGGGAGTATTGAAGAGAAGTAAAGATACACACTTTTCAATAAATATTGCTCTAAAAATTGAGTATCCAGGAGGGAAAAAAAATTGAGTTTCTGCCTTACTCTGGACATGAAATATCAACTCCAGGTGCTCATAGGTCTGAATGTCAAAGACAGAACACAAGAATTTAGGGATAAAAAGGAATTTAGGGAAAGATTTTGTAAGCGAGTTGTATGAAGCAGTGACCATAAAAGAAAATGATTTGACAACAATTTAAAATAAAGAACTTCTTTTGTTGAAAAGAGTATATTAAGAGAATGAAAAGACAAATCACAGTGTGAAAAGTATTTGTGATGTGTTTAATCAACAAAAATTTATTTCAAAAATACATAAAGAATGGTCTCAAATCACTAAGAAAATAAATAACCTAACAGACAATTGGAAAACTTGAGTAACTATTAAGTAAAAAATAAGTCATGAAGCCAGTGAAATGGAAGAGGGAAATGCAAAATGGAAGCATAGTAAAATAATTTCATATCCCTAACAGATTAGCAAGTTTTTAACTCTGACAATATCAAGTATTATTGAGTGTGAATCAAAGGGAGCAGTCATCTACTGCTAGTGGAAGTGAAAATTTGAATAACATCTTTGGAAAAGAGTGACTCCTTTATCAGATCATGTCCTTCCTTATGTAAAATTCTCCAGTGACTTCAGCTCAGGTCTTGTGTGATGTGTATGGCCCTGGCTATCTCTCTGACTGACCAGTTCCTCACCCCCTTGCTTACTCTGCTGGAGCCCACTTCCTTGCTTTTCAACATGCCAAACCTTTTCTTGAGTCAGGGATTTTTGTACCTGTTTTTCCCCTTGCTTGGAATGTTTTTTCTCTAGATAGTTGCATGATAAACTCTCACATTCCATTTCAGACTGTTCAAAAGTTACCCTATCAGCCCTTACCTAAACCACATGATATAAAGTAACATACCTTCTCTCCTTACCATCATTCCTTTCTCTTGCCATTTTTTCTTCATAGCCTTCTTGACCACTTCACATACAGATTTTATCTGTCTTCCCTTACAAAAGTACCCCTGGTGGCACAGTGGTTAAGCATTCAGCTGCTACCAATAGGTGGGTAGTTTGAACTTACCAGCTGCTCCACGGAAGAAAGATGTGGCAGTCTGCTTCTGTAAGGAAACCCAGTGGTGCAGGGCAGTTCTACTTTGTTTTTATAGGGTTGTCTTGAGTCAGAATTGACTAATGGGTAATTGGGTTTTCCCTCACAAAAATGTAAGTTTTTTGAGAGTGGTTTCCTTGTTTTGCTCCTGATGTGTTTCCTGATTCTAAAACAGGGCCTGGCACATAATAGATTGCCTAGGATATGCTTTGAATATGAATTTGTTCTTAATAAAAAGAGGACCTAGTAAAGACGACTTGAAGAAATCTTGGTTTTGGCTTCTTTTCATTGATTTGTGTTTATTGTCAAAGAATATAAATGTCTACTAAAGTTTTTATTAAAAAGCATAAGCATAAGCATAAATTGTATTGCTTCATTTAAAATTATACATTTGTTTTGTTCTAGTTTATTGTAATGCTTTTCTAATAATTTACAGGGCAGCCTTTATGCTTTTCAATAGGTGGGAGAAAATAAACAATTACTAGATACAGTTGAAATGATATGTACATATTGGGTAAAAGTCAGGCATTTACAATGTGAGCTATATATTCCTATTTGAGAGTTTTTCTTTTGTTATCCATCTCCAAGTGGGAGCTGGTGAGGTGGCCAACTTTGCTGCATATGCATTTGCACCAGCTACATTAGTGACTCCGTTAGGAGCTCTCAGCGTCCTAGTGAGGTAAGCATCCTAGTTTCGTATGTCACAACAATAGTAAAATTGGCAATGCTATCTAATTTACATTTACATTATCAGATCAGCATACTTACATTTAAACTACATTGAGTTCTTTTTACACTATGTGCTTTTGAAACATCCTCTGTGCATAATAAACATGCCTTCTGATTAGTGGGAGAAAATTATTTTATGTTTTGCCTTGCTTACGTTCAAAACTAGCACTAATTCTAGTTTTATTTCAGTTTTTTAAGTACTGAGTTGCACTTGTCACACAATTTACTATTTGACACCTAATTCACTTTGTCAGGTGTTGGTTGCTGAAGAATACATTTCTGTTTACAGTCATTGACTGGACATCAGGTTGTGTACCTCTGAAAGACTGGTCTTTGTGTACTTGTTTGGAAGCAACTGTTTAGACTTACCCTATTTTTGTTAATTTTAATAGTTAACTCAAGCAACTAAACACAAATTAAAATCTGGATCTTGGTTTCTATTCCCACAATTGATAGGAATTTTTATTCCCCCCCCCCTTTTTTTTTCCTCAAGATGCTATATAGAAATGGTTATGGTACATGTCTTTATCCTTAATTTTCTGTATTTTATATAATTACACTTATAGGCTTGTATTTATCTTTTTAGATGTGGAAAATACTAGCTATAAAGTACTAAAACTTGATAATAGGAAAACTAAATAGAATCAAATGAATAAATAAGAAGGATACATCAACCATCATTAAAGTTGAGCTTATTTTAAGCATTTGTTTGAAGGCACATTCCTAATTAGTATATAAAATTGTACAAACTATAGTTCCTTTTATTGTAATTTTCATATTGACTTCTTACAGTAGAAAGAAGATAAATAATACTCATTTTGTGTATGATGAAGCAGGTGATTTCCTATAAATTTTTATTTTGTGATTGCATGTGCATTTTCCTTACTTTATACTCTCACAGTATTCTAGTTTGGGTTCAAGATTTTAAACTCCATGTTGTGTTGATGTTCAGAAAGGAGAAAACTAGCTGATTGTGTTCTTAACCTTTTTTTTTTTTTTCCCTTGATACCCTTTTTAGCGCTATTCTCTCTTCATACTTTCTGAATGAAAGACTTAATCTTCATGGGAAAATTGGGTGTCTGCTAAGTATTTTAGGATCTACAGTTATGGTCATTCATGCTCCGAAAGAAGAGGAGATAGAGACCTTAAATGAAATGTCTCACAAACTAGGTAATCCAGGTAAGAAAATAAAAAAGCTTTGCCTTATTGTATTTTACTTTTTAATTTAATATTTATTTATTTGTGTGTGTGTGTGTGTGTGTGTGATACATTATTATTATTATTGTGATTTGGGTGAAGATTTACAGAG